TGTCATTTATTATTATGTCTTGCTTGTCTAATAGTTCTTTGTACATAATCTTTATTATCGCCAAGTTCATATTAGGTCCAATTTCATTGATATCTGCGTTTAAATCACTGACTACTTCTTTATTTCTTTCTACAGGATCTTTAGATATTGTCAGCGAATCTTAGATGTTCGAGGTGTTGTTTATCTATAGATAGACCTTTGTTCTTCCAATCTATTTTACAGAATACATTTTCTAGAGTTGACGTGAAGAGCTTGGAGAATATTCAGTTTTCTTATCGAATACCTTTGGTAGTGGGAAATTTTGGAGTGTCATCATATATTCTGACTTTAGCTTTTGTTTCTCTATATATGTTGGTTGGTGTTTCTATGTATAGTTTGTCAATGCTTTGGATGGTTAAAGCTTCTGTTATTGCTCTGTGATATATGGAATCAAAAGCCTTTTCGACGTTGGTGAAGGCTAGTTCCAATGGTATTTGATTTTCATTTAATAATTTTTTTTGTGTTTGGATATGGTTCATAGTACTGAAACCATTTCTAAAGCTAGCCTGTTCCCGCGGTTGTACAGCATCTAATTTGTTTTGCTGCCATTTTTATAAATGATTATGATATTGGTGCAGTTCAAATGATCTGGGATGCGTTTTGACCTTAAGAAATTTTATTTTTTTAATTTTTAGTGCATTTATGTGAATAAAAAATTTACTTTAAAATATTTTAATATATGTTTTTTTAGTGTATTCAAAAGCACTATCCTGTAATAAGTTAATTGATATGATATTAAGACCTACTCTGTAGCTAAAGCTCATTTCTTTCTATTTTTCGAAATATTTATTTGTTAGTTAACACATGTAATGTTATATAGGTCAAGAAACATTCGCTCCAATCACAAACTATTAGATTAAAACCAAAGCAACAAAAATAAGCGCAAAATATTATAAAAACCTCGCAAATAATGGCGCTAGAAAGGAACGAGATAAAAGACAATATAAAACCATACAATTAAAGTAAACAAGAACCCAATACATCACAGTAAAATACAAATCCAGGCGTAACAGATATTTATGTTTAAGGCGCATACACGCATGCTCTATTCGCTAAAAGCCGAATATTGACCTTTGGCCAAACCATCTGCCGAAATATCACCGGCCGATGAAGCATGTCCATGCATTCGGTTATTTGCATATCGAGATCAAGAAAATCGACGATTCTCAGACGATATTTGTGTCACTGCTTCTATATTTCAGCGCTGCCACGGTCATCGAAGAGAGGAGTTCCATCGTCGTTACCTCCAACACCAAAAAGCATACAAGGAAAGGATTAAGCAATAAAAACTTGAGTCATGGAGTGCCTTCTGCTCCAGGGCTGGTGGCAATCCCTGCAATTTCATTTATAAACTCAGCGTCAACAAAATGAAAACTACAAATCTTATAAGTAGTGGAGATATTGGTAACACTGCAGACGACCTCAAAACCACTGTGTGTAGACTTTTTGAAGCCTTCTGCCCCTCTGACCCTATTGACAATGATACACCAGACCAGGTCCGAATTAGGAATATAGATCATTCTGAAAGGCTTTCGGGAGACGATCCGCTTTTCTCCTACTTGGAAATTGATGATATTATTGCCACCTTGTCAAGGAGGAAAGCTGCGGGTCCGGATCAGATTAATGCTGACATCATTCGGGAGATCTGGGGTGCCCGGCGAAATTTTCAATACCTGCCTGCAGAAGGGCATCTTCCCTCGTCCCTGGAAAAATGCGCAATTGATTATCATTCCTAAAAAGCGCGGAATGCCGCTCATAGTCAGTAACATGCGAAACATCTCTCTTCTGTCATCCTTAGGCAAAGTGTTAGATAAACTTTTATTTAACAGGCTTTATTGGTTCTGAGAGTCTCAGAGACTTTACCATAGCGCTCAGTATGGTTTTAGGAGGCAAAGAGGGACCATAGATGCCTTGATGGACCTCAAGACCCACATCAAAGATCTACTTTCTGAGCATGCCTAAGTGTTTGGACTTAGCCTAGATTTAAAGAATGCATTTAACTCGGCATGGTGGCCGCAGATCCTGAACCGGCTGAGTGAAAATGGATGCCCAGAAAATTTATTCAATTTAGTTAAGGACCACCTTAAGGATAGGGTGGCCACAATCAGAATAGGTAATCAGTCCTTCTCCAACCAGCTCCAACGGGGATGCCCGCAGGGCTCTGTTTGTGGCCCATTATTTTGGACAATTTTGTTTGACAGCTTTCTTAGGCTTGAGTTTGGTCACCGCTGCAGAGTCTTTGCCTATGCCGATGATGCCTTTCTCGTCTTTCCGGTTAATTCTAGGCGCACGATAGAGTCTGCTGCCAACGATATTTTGACAAAAGTAGACGAATGGGGTGTCAGTAATAAGTTAATATTCAATGCAACGAAGACTAAAGGCATTGTTTTCACAGCTCTTCAACAGATTTGTATCGACGTGTTCCGTGTGTACGCTTCAGAGACTCTTCCATTAAAATAGAGGAACATGTCACTTTCCTTGATGTAATCTTTGATCACAGGTTAACCTGGAAGAAACACATTATGCACGTATCTAACCGTTCCAGCCTTGTTTTTAACAATCTGCTCCGAGTTGCCAGGAACAGATGGGGTCTTGATCATGTAGCTGTCAATGCCATCTATGACTGCGTGTTTTTGCCCACTATTTGTTATGCTTCTGCTGTATGGGGAGAGGCTGCCTTCCATTCCCATAATCATCGGCGTCTCAGAACAGCACAACGTCTGGCGCTCCTGCGTCTGACTAGAAGTTATTCCACCGTGTCTAACGCTGCTCTTCCTGTGCTTGCCGGGAAGCTCCCCATCCTGCAGCAGATCCAGTACTGTACAGGCAGATTTCTTCTTTCCCGTGGTAAATGTATTACCATCTCAGGCAACGTATATGACGCAACCTGTTACGAAATAAGTAGACCTTTTGCAGACCTCCCGCATCCTGCACTCAGAAGAGGTCTTGGGGCTCATGACTGTGCTACCAGCATCGAAGTTTTTACCGATGGCTCCAAGACTGAGCAAGGCACCGCAAGTGCTTTTGTTGTTTATGTCGGTAGTGAGGAATTTCATCTCGACAGCTTTCCCCTGCACCCGGAGTGCTCAGTGTTTCAGGCAGAAATGTTTGTCGTCTTTAAAGCAATAGAATTCTGTAATAAAACTTTCAGCAACTACAATATTACTATTTTCACTGACAGCCAGGCCACGGTCCAAGTCTTGACTAACAAAGATACCACTCATCCTCTTGCTAGGGACACTTTGTTCTCTGCAGATCAGTCCAGTAATAATTATCATATCAAATGGATTAAGGGGCACTGCGGCACTCCAGGTAACGAACGTGCAGACTTCCTTGCACGTGTGGCTGCCTCCTTCAGGGACATTAACCCAGTGTACAGCCATTTACCGGTCTCCAGGTTAAAGCAGCTCCTCTGGCAGCATACAATTGTAGCGTGGCAACAAGAATGGGAGCGTATCCCAGAGCAGCACATTTCCCGGCTGTTCTTCCCAGACGTAACAAGACGCCTCAGCTTGAAATGGGTTCACTCTCAACACCAGATGTCACAGCTGCTCTCAGAACATGGTAAATTCAATGTATACTTACATCGGTTTCTACACAGTGACACTGACTGCTGTCCAAACTGCGATGTTCGTGATGGAGTAAGGCATTATCTTTTGTCTTGCCCACTGCTGGAGGACATAAGGAACGAGCTCAAACTTTACGTGGAAAAAGATAATCTCAATTGGCCGTGTAAGCTGGAAATTTTAGTGTCGAGTAAAAAGTACTTTTCCCCTTTTCAAAGGATGGTCAAGCGTTACTTTAACAGAACATTAATACATTGATAAAGGTTTTTCCCCACTTTTCTTTACCACATGACTCCTGACATCAGGATTTTATATCTACGTGTATTTTGTTTTTTTTTCTTTAACGCTCATTGTCGGTTTTCCTGCTCGGCATGTCACCTCTATGTACACACTGTATATATTCATTCCGACTATGCCTAGCGGTGTCGGGCATAATAAAGTTTATTTTGTGTGTCTGTCTGTCTATATTTACGTGTAGTAAAACACAAAAAGAAGATGGTGGATAGTGTCACTTCACCAACCGAAAAATCAATCAATCAATCAACATTTATTTGCTATGGCTTTCGCCTTTGCAAAGGGGTTACAAAATCGTGTAGCGTTAATAATACAAAGATTGTTATACATGGTTTCAAAAAGAACAACAACACAAACAATAAATGATAACAACAATAAAGCCTAATTAATAATGAATTATGTTAGCATATTTAATAAATAACAGAAAAATTTATAAACTTTAAATAACATATCAGAACTTAAATTGTCGTCATATAAGCAAAACATATCAAAATCGGTTGTCAATAAAGTATCTCTTAAATGCTCGGTAATTTCGCAAGATACAAATAAATGGTNGAAAGAAATAAACTATATTGTGACTAAAATAAACTATTGATATAATTATAACATTAGATTTTTTATGCAAAATTCAAATTAAATTGTTTGATTGTTAATCTAAATTGTAAAGTTTTAAAAATGTAAGTTTATTTTACAATCACAATAGTAAATTCTCCAAAATAACTTTTTATACTTCTTGCTCTATATCTCGTTATTACCTTTAAAAAAAATTGAAGAGATTAAAGAGAGAACAACAGGAACAAAAATCAATGCATGAAATGCAGTTTCTAATGCAATAAGAAATACAATTTTCACTAATATAATTAAAGCGTACATATCTCTGTATACAAATAAAATTCCTAAAATAGTCGACACAGATCCTTGACATATTGGATAGCCGATACGATACAGACTGTCTTTCATTCTTTCATTAAGGGTTTGGTAAGGAGAACAAATATACGCGTAAGATATGTGAGCCGGATAATTGACGCAGAATCCGACACATAATATCAGACTCATGATAGATAAAATGTCCATGTTTATACCCCACAGAGACATGTATCCTTAAGTTTCTACAATTGTGGATGTTACCGATATTGCAACGAGAACTGCAACGGCGGTGTTTGGTATGAAAACTATAAAAAGAATCATGACCAAAAGTGAAGTGATCCAAAATAAATCCTGAATTGTACGTCCAATTATAATTCCTTGTTCGTACAGAGGTGCGACTGCTGCATGAACAAGAACAGGAAAATTAAATTCGTCAGCAATTTTCCACAGAGTTGTTAACATTTCTATTTCAGCTGCTTGACTTAACGTATCATTTACAAGTACATGAAATCTGCTACTTAAAATATCGGATCCATCAGAGTTGAATGCGATATCGTCAGAGAATTGTTCCGCTGATTTAAATTTCAGGAAAACATTGCGAAGTCCATCCAAGAAATCTTCTTTAACCGACATGTTGTATCCTCGTAATGAATACTTTGCTAGCGAATGATTTTGGAATTCTTTGTAGTATTTTAACCAAGATACTCTGAATCTGGAATGTGCAATATATGGAAGACTTTCGAATTTGTTGAGTAGTTCGTCTACGGATTTTTGTACATTTAAATCTGAATAATCAAGTGTTCTATTAATTACTATATGGTAAGGAAACGTATAACGGCCAAAACTATTATAATATATTTTAACACCCTGTGTTATTACCGATTCTTGTGGATGTAACTTAGTAAAATCTATACCGTCTTTTATAGTTAACGCTCCCCATAATCCAAATGATAAATTGAGAAAGTACACGATGATAAATGCTATCTTCGTTACATTCATAGATAGAATTTTTCCAAACTTGTCTCTGAAATATGCCATTGTTGGCTCATTAGTTGACGTTTCTTCTGTAGAAACATTTTCGATATCTTTTGTAAATAAAATTACCATTTAAAATATTAATACGAGATTTATATTCGAAAAGTAATTATACACAATATATAGTCAATTTTTTAATCATTTAATGTAATATTAATTATCTGCAAATGAAATGAATATAAGAAGTATAATTAAAATATGAAAATAAAAAGTATTTAGATATTTTATAAAATCACATCAAAAAGTATAAGTATTCAAAAAGATTATCCTCTTCTTTACGATATTTTTAACCATAATTTTCATTTTGTTTTAAAGGAAAGCCGTTTTTTTGTTAAAATAATATAGAAGATAGCCAAAAAAATAGTGGAAAGTCAAGAAAAAAAATAAGCAGAAAAAATTAGAAAAATAAAAGATCCCTCTCAGAAACTTACAAAAGAATAATACTACGTAAGTTTGAGTAGTAACCTACACCAAAAACCAGTGCAGCGACAAGCAAGCTAGAAAGAAAAAAGTTGAAATCTTAACTTTAAAATAAAAATTCAAACGTATTTTTAAATAAAGCGACTTTTGTAGAAATCATTCTTCAATAATATATTAAACTATTCTAAATTAACGACATCTACTGTGTTTTAAATACTGTAAAGTATCTATAATGTACTATATTAGCTGTGTCAATTCAATATGCTATAAGAAACGTTCACGTAACTGAAAACAAGATAAGTTATGAGTACTAATGTTATAATACTACATATGCAAGAACATTGCAAGTAACCTTAATATATATATATATATATATTAATTTTAATTTTATTTAAACGTAACTAATCAGAACAAATGTTAATTATCGTAAGGTTTAATGGTTTAAATTAATGAAATTCAATATTAACAACATACGTAGTTGTGACGTAAAAATAAAGATGCAATTAACTACTTGCTAGTAATTGGGCAACACGAATTAAGTTTCTGCAAATAATTTCATATTACAGAACACTTAAAGAAAATAATGCATTATACAATCAATAACCTACAAAATTACACTTCATTCTATGGCAGCAGTCTGTTGATGCTTCCATGTAAAATCTCATATGCCATACAAATTATGAAAAACCGTAAACATATATAAATATATATTTAATTTAAAAACTAAAATCATCTTACGGATATCAAGACGAAATGCTTGTTGTTGTTTTTCTTCTTTGTATCCTGATAATGCCATGCAACCTGCAAAAAACGTTATTTGATACAAAAATGTGAACACTACGCTGGTTGCCGAATAATAATAAAACATTCTTATAAGAGGGAAAGATGACATCATTCCAATGCAATAGGAAAACAGATTAGTCAACGATGTTTAAGTTATGGAAACTCCTGCTTCACCCAATGTTTCTTCCATGCGTTTCTGTATTTTATGCTTGGGGTTTGATATTCTCCAACACGCCAATAATACGAAGGCATCATCGATCCCTGTCACTGCATCAAAAAACTTTTATTAATTTAAGAATTCATAATCTAAAAGTAAACAAATATAAATGTGCGAGTAATTACTTACTGAGAACTAAAAAAGGAATGTTGATGTTCCAAATACTATTTTGAACACCAACAGCCGACATGAATCCGAAAGAGGTGACGACAGCCAGACCGGCAGAAACGACACTTGCAACACCCAGAAAAGGCTTGCTTTTTGCCCAATTGTTGCTCATACAAGTAACAGTAGTAAACACAGAAATAAATGCAACTACTGCACCGATCATTGGTTTTATATTTTCCGCTAATTGCACATTTCGTTGTTCCATTGACCAGTTGTAGTCAATGAAACACAGAACATATTTAAACTGATGATTTCTTATGCGGTTGTAAACTTCTGTTCGCCATTTTTCTATCACATTGTGTTTTTTCTTGTCGCTTTCGTCAGTGAAATAAACTAATCTCATATCATTTGCTGTCTGAATAAAATCGTTTTCATCTTCGGTTACATCCCCAAAGTTGAGAGAATAAATTCGAGAAGAGTATGTCAGCGGATCTATGTCGAACGGATACTTCAATTTCTTTTTTCGCTGCACTATATTATCAATTTCGGGCAATATTTCGATAATCGGATTTTCAAAACACTTTTCGCCTACACGTCCACAAATATCAGAATATCCAATTTTCGTACCTTTAATTTTCGTATTAACTGTTATATTCTTAATAAATTGATCTGCTTGACTTATTTCTAGTAGCACGTCTTTCTCGAGCATGTCTCAACCACGTTTCTTTCTAAACATGACAAACACGCAATTTGGTATGGTTGTAAAACCTGCCGGATCAAGGAACTGCGATGTATTAAAAGAGAACGTTTTGTCAATGAACTTCTTAGTATTATAGACTTTTCCTGAATCTGCGAATACCAGTTCCATTGTGTTTGAGATGGTGTTTATATTAAAGATGAAGGCTGAAAATGACGCTGTTATAAAAATAGGAAAAATAATAAAGTAGTAAGGATGAAGTCCGATTAATCTTCCTAATTTTCAAAAAACGATGGATAATCGAAACGATTATCCATCGTTTCTTAACACAGTCGGTTTTCATGTTTTAATTTTTAATTATAGAAAGATATTATTTTGTCTATAAAAAACAAAAATATAACATCATTTAGATAATTTTAAAAATTTACCAAAAGAATTTTTTCATTGGATGTAAGAATAAAAGTGTCCTTCATCTGTTTTCTCATTGTGTAATTTCGGGTTTTTTTTAAAAGAAAGTCCCTAAATAAAGTCATTATCGCCAATGAAGTTTTTAATCCTAAAGTCATACGAAGAGACAACAGATGAAGCACATTTATAAAAATTATGTCTGATAAGAACATTTTTGCAAATACAGTAGACTCCCCTATAAGACGGGGTTATATAATGCGGATTCGTATATCGCGGCGATAAATTGCGACAGTATTCGTATAAAAACGCTAAAAAAGACTCGTAAAATGCGGTAAAACGCCATCGACGACTCGTGTCGCAAAAGCATTGGTCGAATCTGAACTAATAGTGGACGAGCAGCCGAACTACTTACACGTTACAGAGAGTTTAGGCGGGTAAGTTGAGTTTACTATCGTTTGTACAGTATATAAATTAGGTACTGTAAGTTTAATACAGTACTGTAATTTTATACATTTCTTGTGAAAAAAAAACTACTTATTTAACGTCCATAAAAATTATTTATATTAATGATGTCTGCAAAGTTTAGATAATGTTTCGCAGAAAAATTACTTATTAGAAAACGCGCCCGCCGTTTGGTTCGCTGCTCTGCGACGAAAACAAGTTTAAGCAATGGAGACGTCGAACGGTGCACACTCGGTAAGTAATTTTACATTTTTTTGTTTATAGCATAGCTTATACGGATTATTCCATGAAAATTATACGTGTTTTGGAAACGTTGAGTCAAATTAGTCTAGAATCGATTAATTTTATTAAAGAAAACCTTTCAAACAGCCATAGTATGTATGTAATATAGTATGTATTGCGTAGTATGTAAACTGCAGAAGTGCCGGGGTGTGATTGGCTCATGTATTTAAAGGTTTCTACAACACGAAATTCTTATAAAATGGAACGTATCTACCGCGTTAGAAGGAGTCGACTGTATTTTGTAATCTTTTTATATTTTTATTATTTAAATAAGTTCAATTTAATAATTGATTATAGTTTAGTTTTCGTATTTGTAAAGTATTAATTCAACTTAATACGCAGTTATTAAAAGATGCATTTAAACTAGTTATTATTTAATTTGAATGTGAAAGATACTGTACAGTTATTTTTCTAAACATAGTTTATGACGATTTTTTTTCTTGTTTCTTAATAGATATTGTGTCCTGACTGATTTTGTACTGTACGTTGATAATAAGACAAATACATAATACTACACATTTCCTACACTTTCGAGTAATTATTGTAAATTAATGTATTGACAAAGATTCTCTACTTTTCATTTATTATTTAAATTTTAAAAGTAACGTTAAAATTCGATGAAGCCATTAAACTTTAAAATTCATTGTCTTTAAGTATAAATATGAGATAAAACTGATTGAACTTTCAGTTATGTAATGAGCTGTCCTTTTCTTGTACAAGTAGAAAGAATATTTATGAATATTATCAAAAAGTCTACATTTTATTTGGTTAAATATTATTTTAGTAAAATTATTTAAAATTATGTAAAATAGTATATTTATAGATTTTTCATTATTAAAACAAATATTTAATACCTTATAAAGTCAACAGACCTTAATACAGAGCAAGCTGATTCGTTCAGCTAAACAAACGTTTTCAACTCATCTAGGGGGCCATCATCAGGTTAAAAACGTTCGAATCAATAAATAAGAAGAACAAAATAGAATAAAATACAAAATACGGTAATTCCCCACAAAACAATATGTACAATTTTTTTAAGGGTAGGGATAGCTCTACATCCATAAAGGAATCTCTGCTAAATATTTTTAACAAGACAGAAGTTGTTAACCTGGACAGAAACAAAAGCTAAAAGATTTTAGGGAGATTTTTCTGCTGAGAAATTTTCAGTGCCAGCCCTTAACGTAGATACTTTTAGAATATTACTCAAAAACTAACAGTTCATTATTCTCAAAACTTATAGAGCATTTTCTTGAGATAGAGACTGATAGACAAGTGGAACTGTTGCTAAAATCGTCATTAATTAAACTATCGTTGTTTCCGTACGCCGTTTAAATCTCATTAGGTAAAAAACAGTGGATAAAACTAAACCATTTATGAATTACAGAAAGTTAAACAAGATAACTGAAATTAACAACGAACCTATTACTGAAATAGATGATCTGTTATATACACTTATATGTACAAAAATATATGCTACAGTATACTTTCTCTCAACCTATTGGCATGTCCCTCTTCTTTCTGAAAACAAAGAACTAACTTTTTTTCACTTCCAGTGGAATTGCTGCAGTGGAAGCTTTTGGTTTCGGGCAGTTGAACTTCGTTTCATTTAATATTTGAAAAGAACTTTTGAGTTACCCGTTAAGTTTCTTTAAGAAAAAATAGAGAAAAAACATTTCAGAACAGCAAACAAGTAAGCAAGCAAAAATAAAAGTAAAATTAGTAAATGAAACAATTCTAAAATAATTTAATAATCACTCACCATATTTTCGTTGTTCATTTCCATTATCCAAACTGTCTACCATGTTAAGTTCTACGATCCGGCGGTAATTGTCTTTATCAACAGTGTTATAACTTATAATATTTTAATGACGAATTTGCAAATGAATTTTGTAACTCGAAGACTGGATTTAGTCGTTAGACTTGATAATATGAAAAGGAAATGAAAGTTGCAGGAAATTATAAATTATTTACGAGGAAAAATTTATGAACAATGAATTTATAGCCAAAAAGAGGAAACTTTAAAATAGATTTTGTAATTCATGATTACTGAACCATGCAAATATATCTCTGAAAAACGTTAATGAGTTATTTCGATAAATTTTTAGTTTTCTGCCATTTAGTATTTAAAAATTAAACCGACTATAAATAAATATTTACGCGTAGTAAAAAACATGAAATCGTTAATTGGCATTAAATAATAAATTAAGTACAAGTTTACAATTTGAATAATTATATTCGGTGTAATCAAATTTCAAGCAGGAAAAAACGAAAGATAGACATATTTTTCCTCGTTACTAACACGTGGAATAGAATCGCATAGCGAATATTAATAATGCAGTTATCCTTGATTATAATGTAGTAAAATCAATTGTGATTTATGCAATGTTTTATTATCTATAATTCTATACGCATGGCAATAATAATACCACATTTAAATACCACAACTATATTTCGATAAAATAAATATACGTTGATATATTTATTTTAGAGAAACACAGCAGTAGTAACATGAGTTGCTTAGATAAATTAAAATTTTAAATAATATTCAAATATAAAATATTATTAAAATAATTTAATTTATTAAGTTTATAATTATGTATTATTCACTGTGCTACTTTGTAAAAAAAATTAGTGTTGTTTTATATACATATATTTTTTAAATTTTTTATTCACTGCTTCTTGCTTTCTTTCCTTCACTTCCACCAGCACTTTCACTGGATAGAGGTCGCTTCGTAAAATATCTATCCAAAAAGGTTTGGCTTTGCCTACTTCTAAAATGTTTCTAAAATGGCTTAGGCAAATATCATTACTCTGAGCAGCAATACGGCCAGTGTGAACATTTTTTGGGATGTTTCTTTTCAATGAAATCAGTCACTTTCTGATAATACCTCAAGATTTTGTTTATCGAGCGAGACTCTTTCAGGACGAAGCAAACATTCGGACTGAGACAGATGAACAGAAGTGAATAATAAACCGGCAATGCTAACTAATTGAACGTTGTATGATGAGTTTTTGTTCGTACCGTAGAGCAAAAATATATTCGAATTTCATGTCGTATCCTGAAAATTTCGTATGCTGGAGCGTTTGTATCGTGAAATACTACTGTGAGATCAGCCGGGGTACAGGATAGTTTGTTACTCCTGTATCACTTAATAGGCGATCTATTCCGTGAGAATAGTTCTCTGTCGTCTAAAAGAATGGATTTCCTATTTAATAGGAAATCGGGTGGCAGAAGGTCTTACAGTTAAATTAAAATTTTGAGCTGAAGTTGGTGATGGTGAATTTACCTTCTTCCTTATGTCAGGGTCCCGACACCAGTTTATCTACTTCTCGTAACGCGGATAAACACGCGTGAAATTTATGCCGTAGATCTGATTCAGAGAATCGACACGAGACATTTCTTTGACAAAAATATAGAAAATTTAATAAACAAAATAAACGATACTATACAGAATAGGAAATAATCAAATAATCGAAAACCATCAATCGATAAGCAAACAATCAAATCAATCGCGAACGGAGAGAAATGTATTCTTAACTCCTTAAGCCTCGAGCAATTTTTTATATTAATGTAATTAAACATAAAAAATACTTAAAACTGAAAAAACGAAAGAAATGCGTTAATTTTGAGAAAAAAAGCTTCAAATTTTATTTTCCTTTCTCTTGCCTTATTGTAAAATTTGACACTGATGAGTCATTGTTTACATAGCTGGATGACCTTGAGAACAGCTGGAGCCAGGTTTCCCGGGACATACTCATAGAAGTCTCGGGAGGCGATAGGTTTATAGTAAAGTGAATACTAGCTGGCAGTATATTTTTAAATATTTTTAAAAAATTAAAATTTTTATTTCGATTTCCAACCCCCCTGTCTTAATTAAACTTATATATAATAAAATCTATTAATTAAAAAAATTAAAAAACTATCGGATATCGTTTTTGACATCAGAAAAAGCATTAAATAACTCTACCGAAGTCAAATCTGTGCATTACAACTTTAGAATGAATAATTAAATTTGATTAAAAAATCACATTAAAAAACAATTAAGCATTAATCGCGCGTCACTGAATGTTGATTAAATTCGCGATAAAATTTTTAGCTCGGGTCAAAATTTTTGAAAAAATTTGGAGACCTAAAAAACATTCCAAAAATTGAAAAAAAATATTTGTCTATTAAGCAATGGCGTAGTCCAACGGTGCACAGTTGATAAGTAATCCTACAATTTTTTGTTTATAGCAGAGTTCATATGTATTATTTCCAAAAAAATTATAGCATAATCTCTTTTGGAAATGTTGAGTCGAATTAATCTAAAATCGATTAATTTTATGGAAGAAAACCTTTCAAACAGCCATAGTCCGTAAACTGCACACGTGCCAAACTGTGATTGGCTCAAGTATTTAAGTACTCGTAAAAAATGAATTTCATAAAAACCAGAACATATCTATCCTGTTATTGGGAAGTCGACTGTATTTGCTTTTAGAATAATAACTATTGAACTTCATGTGTACAAAAATTTTATAATGTAATTAAATGTTTTAAATATTCCGTATATTACAAATCAAAATTAAACACAATTAAACTATAAAATAATGTTTTTAGTACAATTATCCTCTGGCCCATTCCATACCGAGTGCAAATGGCGCATTAATTATGAACCAGGGAAAACAAAACAAGTGTCGAACTTTTTAATAAACTTTGTTGCTTGGTAAGACCAAGACTGCACTACCGTAAAACGGCGTAAAACGTCTTGCCGTAAAAAGTTCTAATCACGTGTCCCTGATATTTTACGCATTAGCAGTTCGTAAAGTAGCGTAAAAGTGATTTGAGCAGTGATCAACTTTCAACGCGTATACGGCCGTAAAACGGCACTTTCCACCAATCAGAAGTCAGTGAAATCTTTGTTAGCCGGACCTCCACCGCAATCCAGACGCAAATGCAAATATGTCACGTGATTAAAAGTTTTTACGCCCGTTTTTATGGTAGTATTCTCTCGGCCTAACATTGAAAAAACCTTGAAATCTGAAACATTACACTTATTCTCAAAAATTTCCCAGTTCTATGTGTAACATACATTTTATTAAAGTTAACACCAGGAAACTACAATAAAATAAAATATAAAATTATAATTTTAACCGTTAAAAATTCATTTTATAAATGTTGAACAAAAAATAAAATTTGATAGATTGTAATGTCTATTTTTCATAATATGCGAATAACGCTATGGTATTGCAATTCGTATAGGTGAAGATAAAGTTAGTATAGGAAAAACAGCAAATTATTTATTGTGACATTATTACAATGTCGTGCTGCAGTTTTAAACTGTAGTATTCATTTGTTGAATTTAAAATATATGCTCTTCACCTCAAAGTAGTAGTGGCTTGTACTAGTACAACATATAATACTTGCTAGCAATAGAATCGTGCTAATCATTTATCAAACTCCTTTCAGGGGAAAGTCTTAAATTCAAATAACAAAGGTTGTAATTTGCTCCTGAAGTTCCGATCCGTTTAATCGGTGCCTCTTACTTCTACGCTCTCCACCTTGTTTTACTGATCTTCATGTAACACTTTATAGTTATCTTCGTTTTTTTTACACACAAAATGCAGAGCATGTCACAAAAGCAGTAAAAATAATATCACGAAAATGATTCTGTAATTTACATAACGTAAATTTCGAAAACCATTTAAACGTTTGTTAATTACGATAAAATTTTTCAGAAACTTGTATCATTAATTTTTAAACTAGATTGGCTTATCAACAATACAGCATATATTAGTTGAAATCTAAGAACTGTTTTTTCTATTATTTCGTGTGTATTATTATGAAAATGAAACGTAAAGCACTATAAGTCTCTATTTCCAGATATAATGCAAATATTCAATTTGGCACAATTCTTAAAATAGAGAATAATTTTATATATATTCTCTCGATAACTAAGCAGACAAGAGACAGAAGGTAGCCTATTATAACTAACAGTGTGGGGCTGATGATATCTTTGATGGATAATTCGCGAAATTCTGAAACTTTGTTTGTTCGAGATTGTTCAGCATAATCGATTTTCTCGATGATTCCAGAATCGAATATTCGACTAGTCCTGAAAAATAATATTTTAATTTTTATACTGAAACGAGCAATTATTGAACTACAATTTTGACAAATTGTAGACTTGTAAATTACAAGTGTAGTTTGCATGTCCAAGTGCCTGTCTGTCTGTCTTTCCTTAATCTCGAAAACGCAATTCGATAGGTGAAAAAAAGGGATGAGATATCAATAAATTTCTTCATCACCTGTTCAAAATTTTCGAAAACCTAACGGAAGTTATGTTATTTCAATTTAAATTTATACCTCTGAAAGTTGTTAGATAGTCGACTGGAACGACTCTGTTGTTACAGAAAAAGAATGATGTATTGTACAGGAACAAGCCACTACTTAGATATAAACAGCATATATTCTATTTATGTGAATCGGAGATATGAGTAAATATTGAAGCCTAAGTTTGTGACTATATGAAAAAAAACTTCAGCACGGTATTATGAAAACCATAATAGCGTGCTGAAAATTTTAATCATATTTTTTAAATAATTTAATTTAAAATATATGTGATATAATTTCCGTAACATAATGCCTTATTCCTGTATTTCATACTTTTCCTGTCAGAAACGAGATGTCATACACATTCATCAAACTCTTTTCATGCCATCTAACGTGTTTTAAGTTTAAAACAAGATGCTTTAATCCAGTTAATCCTTCTTTACTACTCAATACGAATCTGGTATCGCCATTTATTTTACAAACACCGTTCTTGAGATGAGAAAAGGACAGTGAGATAGATACAGGAATGATAGTGGGAATTCACAAGTATACAATTTTCTTCAAATTGTAGTCCAACAAAAAACTATGTAAAGATTTTATTAACTCACATTTCGTAAATATGAGGTCTGAATGGAAAACTCTTCCTCATTGCATATGCTTCCATAAAAGTAAAAAGGTTGTCATTCGAAAATACAAAGTTGTCTAAATTATTTCGAAGTTTGTTTTTTAATAAATAATCAGTGAATATTAAGGCAAATCGTTCTTTTTGTACTTTTTCAATTGCTTTGTTTAATTCAATAAAGTTGTTGTTTTTTATTATATGGTCTGATATGATCTTCGCAGATTTTAACTTGGAATTCTAAAAAATTACTTGACATCATATAATATATAATATACAACTATTAATAATAAGTTATACATTAATTTTATATTATTTCCTCACTTACTTGAATAGATTGCCATAAAACAGATTTACTGGCTATTCCACAAGAATATTCTCCTGTTAGTATAGAATTTGCTAACTGATCAAAAGTGTTTGGAATTTTTTCAGTAACAGGATACGTCATGAACGACATTAAAGTCCCTCTATAACTAGACCCTAGAATAACGATGGATAAACACCATATTCCAATCATAAATCTGGATAGAAACCTCTTTATACAATCCAAATTTATTCCTGCATATACAAAATACTATAGTAAAAAAATCTGTTACGAATTATAGAAAAGTAAGTGACCATACCTTGATATACGAAACTGCGAAACAAATTCCAGAAAATTTTACTTCTTGGCCAAAATACGTCTATATGTTCTATTGCAAACTCTCGTTCTAACACTTTGTGTAACGCTAGTCCAAACACTATGACGGTTATAAACACAGCGATCCAAATCTGAAAAATTAAAATACTGCTATCATGATAAAATGTTATAATTTAAATAACAATTACTTGCCATAAATGAAAATGGAGCGACAATGGAACTCCAATTAGGTATCTTCTCAGGTTTCTTTACAATGAACACCAGAGAGTGGTATCCTACCACTGCTGAAAACTCCGTGATTGAATACAAATCGAAATTAATAAAGTTTGGAATGATTGCCATGTCTACTTCCTATTAATTGAAAAATTAAGAATTATATTATATTATATTATATTATAAATGTAATATAATATTACTGTAATATTATATTACAGTAATATTAAGAAGTAAGCTTTTACAAAAAAATAAATATGAATTTTCTGAGAAAAATAAGTTTTTTTTTTTTTACTTAAACCTAACCTACGAACATACTCTGATTAACATCCACACATGAAGGTAAAAAGAATTCAATTTTTCGCATTTCTCAACGTTTCAAATTCTTGTGAGTCCGATAATGTAAAAATTTTGAAAGAACGATTTTTGGCCGAAACTTCAGTATTACGTTTAACTTTATTTTATGAGAAACCTGAAAAATTTACATAAACCTTTAATGTAATTTTTAATAAGTTTGTTAATTATATAAACTGTTTTCAAAGACTCCAAAATTAAAAAAATACATTTTGCTCTTCGTAGAATCATATTTGAGGTAAATCATTTTATAATAGAAAAGAAACATTGAAATAATTCCAAAAAAGTAACGTAAACTCTTGAATGCTATTACTTATTAAGCGGTGTTTAGCAGATGCAAAAAATTCTAAAAAAGGAAGGAAAACAATGAAAATATCGAGTATCGCGAAGTCAAGCTCATAAGAAGTACTTTTTTTTTTAACTTTTTCAAGATTTGTTCATGCGAAATTGAAAACAAGTTCTCTAATGAAATTTAATTACAATATTAAAAAGAATAAAAGTAGTAAATTTTAAAACGAATAACACAAAGTAAAAACGAAAATGTTTTTAATTAAAAGTGAAATTGAAACATTATGCAAACAATTCAATTTGGTTTCGCATTTGATCATATGATACTGAGTTTTGAGTGAGAAAAACTAGCAGCTATCAAAGATATCTATCCAAATCATGTGTAACAATTCTATAAAGTTAGGCTTTATGCACTAAAACCTGCAATGGTGTTTTATTAACTGTTTAACGGAGAACTGCACGCCTAGCGTGGAGTCGTTCGACCACTAATTAATATCGGCCATTGTTTACAGATAACTCTTTCTTTTATCTGTCGATGAATGAGGCCTTGGACAAATGTGACTATGTGTCAGAAAATTTAGTTGAGTGTCGCAATAACCCCTACCATTACTGTTTGCTTACGCATCATATTCTAACAGCGGACGACTCTGCTGCACAATTATGATACTCTAAATCTGAAGTAGTACTTCACAAGAATTATGGGTACGGTGGTTCAGCCACTAGTGTATGCCGCTCCTGATTCGGTTTTCCAGCAACATTTCATGGCAAACTCTCATCAGTCAGAAGGGAAGTCATATCGTTACCTGCCTGACAGCTTCGCCGGATTTCTCTTCTATCGAACATTTCACTGCCATATACTGTAGATCAGTTGTTTTCAATCTGCGGTCCCCGCGACATAGGTGCTTCGATGAAGCAACATCATGTGTTACGCAAAAAATCAAATGTACAATTGATTAAAAATTGTTGCGAAAGAAAAATCGATACAATGTAAAATAATTTTTTTATGAGTATGTAATCAGCAAGCGCCAATGACGTGACATACTAAACAAGAAATGCTGTTGATTTAAAAAATGTTTACCACACCTGCTTTCAAACTGATGTATTGTAAGTGTTTCGCAAAAAAAAATATCAAAGTTTAGTGTTTCCCAACTTTTTGTTGAACCACGGCTGTAGGTATATATGTGATATATACGCAGCACATTGGATTCAGCATGGCAAGAAATATCACAGGGAAACATTAATTCCTTCATAGTAGCATTGTTTGTCTTTTAGCAGCATGTATAGCAGCTCTTGTTTGACGTATTCCGTAGTGAATAGACAGGTGTCTGTTTCAAATTTTTTGTGTTTTTTAACCTTATGCATATGTACTTCTACTACGCTGCAATGTGCACATGGCTACAAACACTTCTTTTAACTGTTACGATTTCACTTTTAATTATATATTAGCATTTCCTTTCTGTTATTTATGCTTTTCTTCATTATGCTTTTGTTAGTTTTGTAGCTTCTAGGATGTTTTCTTCACATTTGACAGATTGCCAGCCATTTTAATCATCGCCATTGTATTGAAATTTTGCGCGAAAGCGACGAATTAATGCGAATGCACCAATATAGAGGAAGTAAAAAAACAACAAGAGAAAGTGCAACAAGTTGAACTTTGACGAAGAAAAGGACTACGATATTTTCGCTTGTGAAAAACTCCATATTTTTCTGTTCCTTAAATTGTATCGTAAATTTTTACAGGTCCTTTTTGCCTGAGTTTCCTTTTTCTTGTGACTGCTTTAACGCAGCCATATATTGGATATGACGTTAAATACAAATTTTTCACGGAATATAACTACAAATGTTAATTTTTTTATTATAACTTTGAAAATAAATTCAAACTAGCTTTTCCACAATATGTTAAAGTAAGTTTAAAATATCTTCAGACGGCCAATGTCTAACTAAGACGAAAGGATCTTTTGCACCAGATTTCAGAATGTGAGTACCAATACACAAGTTTTTTAGAATAAGAAGAAAATTAACATGAAGAAGAAAACCATACTGTAAAATGTTAATGCATCTGTTTAATAATTAAATCCTTTACCTGTCTTGTAATTTTTCCAAGCATTTCAGTCCATGTTCCATTTTTGCTTAATCTTCCAAAATAATCATCTACTGGCTTAGCTATGGAATAACTAATTATATACAAATAATTATATTTTTTATAAAGATGAGTTATAAAAATTGTTATTGACTACATTTTCTAATATATAGGAGAAGGTGGGACAAGATCAGAACGTTAAGGTATGAGAAGTCATAAGATGGCAACCACTTTGATGAGAACAATAATTTTTTTTATTCTCAACTACAGGATGTTGTAATATATTATACAAAGTTTAATTTTTGAAAAACGTTTTTAATAAAAAAAGTAAATATGATCTTTTAAAATTATATGTAAATGCAACATTTTGTTCCACCCATGGGGTAAGATGGGAATATTACTTTTATATAAAGAAGGACAAATTAAAATGGTTAAACTGTCGAAATTAGCAACAGAACAGTGTGCCAATTTAAGACAACAGCTACATTTAGCCTAACATTCTGTGGATACAGAGTATAACCCTCCAGAATAAAGGCATTCTGTGTCATTTGTCTTTTGTTTCTTGTTAGGCCTACCCTTGCTGAAGAAGCATGTTTGTCATCTCTGCAGCAATAAAGTCTGCCTCCAAAAATACTTCTGGATTCATAAGACATGTTCATGGTCAACCTGAGGATACATGGGTTCTCTATCGTGCCCCCTACGTACTCTTATCATATTGATGCAAACACAAATAAACTTTATTTCAAAACTAAACAATTATAGTCGTAAAAGTTACTTCGAATACCATAATATATTCATAGAAAAGGTAATGTAAAAGTTTACAATGATACTTACTTCGTAGAAACTTTGTAGCAGGCGTAAAATTAAATAATGTATTGCTGAAATATATAAAACGTCTTGCTTTCAACAAAGATAGCAGCTTGGACGTTTTCTTCTCTCGTGATCACTTTTGAGGTTGACATTTAGTTCCCCCAAATAACAGCTAAATAAAATCACATTAACCACAAGTAAACAGACGTCTCTGTCTTACCCCATGATCTCATTTTGCACCAACTTCCCCTACAGGATTTTTTTACTTTACTTTAAACTACTACTTAATCTGAATATTAATAAAAACAGATAAATTAGCTTAATATTAATATTATGTGTTATAGTTTACAGCTAAAAATTAAGAACAAGAATTATTTTTTTTACAAACAAACATTTATATAAGTAAGTGTAAATATAAGAGAAAAAATTTTTAAAGTACAGTAATACCTCGACTTACGCTACCCCGACTTACGCGAACCCGGAGTTACGAGTTTTTCAAACCCTGTCGATTCGTCTCTTGTTTGAGCGCCACGCAACTCTTGATTACTGACTCTCCCCACACTATTGTTCAGCTTATATGTTCGGATGTATCGCGCGGAATCGACACATTAGCTACAATTTATTTTGTGTTATTTATTTCTGTCTTTGTTATATATACGGAGCCTTGAAAGACTCTATGTGATGATTTCTTGTAACCGTAAACGAATCAAAAGACGAGACAAGATTAACGAAAACATTCATTAGCTTACATACATCCGACTTGGATTTTTCACAAATTGGAAAATTATACCCCGACTTACGCGGTAATCGCTCGGTCCCACCTATCGCGTAAGTTCGAAGTATTACTGTATTGCGATTAAACTTAAAAGTTCAATGATATGTATTTGTTCAAACTTTTTAAATATCTTAAGAAAATAATAGAGCTCGTATATATTAATAGACTAGTCTATCTATTTATTTCTTCGAAAATTGATTTTGTAATTTTTGTTGTTATTAAAAATTTTATAGAAATAAATACTAAGAACAGATTACGATAAANTCTTTATACATACATATATTAGCAAATTATAAAATTGTCAGTATAGTTTACCTTTATCGCAGCTAATTTCCATTCACGGGAATCATTTAGTTTATCTATAAATATAATATACATTAAAAAAATATAAAATTGTATTCAAAAATCCATATATAGTCACGAAATGGGGATTCTTAAAATAACAGAGTAATTCTTTATACATACATATATTAGTAAATTATAAAATTGTCAGTATACTTTACCTTTATCGCAGCTAATTTCCATTCATGGGAATCATTTAGTTTACCTGTAAATATAATATACATTAAAAAAACATAAAATTGTATTTAAAAATCCATATAACAACAAGTAACAAATTGGTACGCTTCTCAGAATTGAATATTCAATACCACGAACAAATATGCATGGCCTCATGTTTATTGGAGATATAGTAGCAATGACAAAGATATGAAAAAAACACAGTGCTTTAAGAATTTTAAAATTGTGAAAAATACACTTCAAATGTGAAAATATATTTTTGTTTCTATGCCTTATATCACATCATAGACGATATATTCTCCTGAATAAGAACATTATCTTGCACCTGTACTAAATTATCTATATTTGTTTTAAAAAAATGTTTTGTTCTGAAAACAATGGAATAAAAACACTACTGTGACACCGTAGATTTAATTTAAATTCTACAATATAATGAATGGGAAAAAAGTAAATTTGTCTACAAAAATCGACAAAATAGAAATTTAATGTATTATTAGAAGATTTAACGTTAATACTTTAAACAAGAGTTCTATGGTTAAAAGTTTCGTTAATTCTAAATCACCATAATTAGTAAATAAATTAAAATATCTGTTAATCTTCAATTGCAAATTTCAAGTTACAAAGTAAAGAAAAACACGTAAAACGTATCAGTGTCATATTAAACACAATAATGTTCAAAAGAAAGTAACTTTTATTAAATAAATCAGAATTTACAATTCTTACCTTTATTCAAATGAATGTATTTGAAAATCCCAAAAAGTAAGGCAAAGAACAATGTGACTTTCATTTTCGACCGAGTATACACTGAATGTCCAACGATTTTCCTACTTTCGATATTTAAATGTACTAAATATCCGACATTGTTTACATGCTGTTGTTATGGAAATGAAATATAATTTCAAATTATTTTTTTTACATAGAATAGATGTTATTTCGCAAACAAATAGTAAGTTATTTTAAGGAACTATTAAATGTATTTGTTTTTGAGAAGAAAAATATGACCAATTTTTTTTTTTTAAATGACAAACTGCACCTCAATATTCCAGTCAAGTACACAAAAAAATGACACTCCCTAACCAGTTTTCTTATAGGGGAATTGATTATAACAGGCTATTATTTTATGTGTACATGTATCTCTGGTAACCTCAACTCAAATACAATTTTTTGGTAAACGTATAGCCTATTCTGTAATATTTTTTGTTTATTCTTACGCGAATTAACGTGTTTATAATTTAGAGTTTAGATCGCTTGTATATATTTTTCGCTAGAAAGACTACATATAAAAACAGATATTTTTATAGATGCATTTTGACATAAATATACATTTAAGGAATCACAAAATAATATGTTAATATAAACACGGGTTTTTATGTATATGTCCATGATGTTAAAAGTATTGTTACTCTGTGTAAATATTATTAAATAGAATAAAAAAAATTGTTATTGATATATTCTGTTTAATTTTGCTCTTGTTTGCTCAAAAAGTTAGATTTAATAGAAAATATTAAAGATTTTACAAAGGAATGTTGTGCTATAAAAATATGTTTATAATCTAAGCACCACACAATTAAATAGATAGTTTATCAAGGTTACAAAGAGATTATTCTAACATGGAACAACAGTACAATATCTGGCAACAAGTTGCTTAGTTTTTCTAGTAACATTTGGTACATCATGTCTTATGATATTTACTATTAAATCTTTTTACATCTTTTGTTATTTCAAAATGATAATAAACTTATTGCCGAAAGGAGAGAAGAATTTTAGAAATTTTTTCAAAATGCAAATAACAAATACAGTCGACCCCCGTATAAGATCATTGATTATTCCGTTTTATATGAATTCCATGTTGTACGAGTCACTTAGATTTTACAAANAAAACTATATTACATACAAATAAAAACCCAGCGAAGCGGGTCCTTGCAGCTAGTATATATATAAAAATGGACGTGTTTGTTTCTATATTTCACTTTTCAGCCAAAACTAGACATCGTACATGAATGGTGTTTCTATGTGGTAGTAGCCCCAAGTCTCCATTCGTGCACTATGGTAGTTGCGTCTCGATAGCTATAAGTGTGCGAAAGATATGGAGGCATAAATTGGTTGACTTCGAAAATTTTCTATTTCGATTCTAAAAATGTTTAAACCGATTTAAATTCGAATTTGTATTCGAATTCGAATTGGTTCGATAATAATACGATTGTAAACGTTCCAAAAATTGATCAAATTGAAAATCGTTCGTTTGACTGGACGTAAAAATTCTCTAATTTGTCTGAAAATGGGTGACCTAATTCTTGTATTCTGTGAAAACGGGTAATATTGGCTATAATGTAATTATCGCCAATCTTTGCCCAGCGAAGCGGGTTATTGCAGCTAGTTAACAAATAAAATGTAATTAAACTTAATACGTGTTTATTGGTATAGAACATACATTATATCTTTAAAATGGTTTTCATAAGATAACGTGACTGTGGATAATTATAAATAAAATTATCGTAAAAATTTATTAGTATTTTCCAATTTGGAAACATAGTTATTATACTAATTACACTTTATTTAATCTAGCGGAAACACAGTTGTTTTAAATAATTGTTTCAATTTTAACAATTATAATATTATAATATATTAAATCTCTTTCGTGTCAAAGATATGGACTGTTTTATGTCACGCATTAAAGTGTATCATCAAGCAAAATTATCTTCACAATCGATTTTTTACTTGCACGAGATCGTATTTTAATGCAATTTAATACTAACTATTTTATTATTTCAGAACATTTTATGATTTTTACAAAGTTATTCTTTTATTACAATTTACTAGGTTATTATACAGTGAAATAAAAAAATCGTGTAGTGTAGATTAAATTTCGAACCATTGATTTTTTTGTCTATCTGCGATTTTACATTAGAAGTTTTCAGAATAGTTTTCTTTTTATTTTTTTAAGTAAATTTTAAAATTTTTCTAATAAATTTTAAATTTTAGTTTTTGGCTCTATTCATAAGCTTCAAGAAGTAAGACAATAGATCATACTCAACTTTCGGACAGAGCATAAGAGAGCTCTTTATAAGTCACAGATGACTTGTTTTGTCTGTGACCGAAGTTGAAAGCTGTCGAACCTCTATTAAGCATGATATTTTGACAATACAATTTCTTCCGAAATGACACAGCCATTGTGAATAAGACATGAGAATAGAAATACTAAGCACAATGTGAAAAACTGACTCTGATGCAGATAGAGTATGTTTCAATATCACTACTGGATAAATATTCGGTATTCTATTTTTACTTATTGGGCAGATGTTTTTATTTAAATTTAATTTGTGATTAATCTTACTAATTAACTGAATATTATTCGATGAAATAATTGAAATACATTACGTTTTCCTGCTAATACGGAGTTGAAGGCTTTCAAATCGAAACACAAGTTCACAAACGTATAGCAGAAACGTATTGTTAAGCAGAAGTGTTCATTGCATTAATGTCGTTAACTAATCTATTCTGGTATTGTATCAAAATGATTGCGTCGTTTCCACTTATAAGGATCTTATG